TGTGTTTCAATAAAGTTTTATTTATAAAATAAACAGTAGGCCAGTGTTAGCCTTCAGGTTGTGTTTTACTGACCTAAGATCTAGCTTCATTCATTTAACAAATACAGGCTGACAAATACAGCACTATTGTAGATGTCTTGGGATATAGCTGCTGTGGAGCTCCCATTGGTACTTATTTTTCTTTTTTGGTGGTACTAAGATGTGAACTCAGATCCTCCTACCTACTCACTAAGCATATTACCAGTGGAGACATGCTTCCAGCTCTGTTTTGTGCTGGTTATTTTTCAGATTGGGTCTCATTTTGTGTCCACATACAGGATTGGAACTCAATCCACCAATTTCCGGTTTTCCATCGTAGCTGAGATGAGAGGCATACGCCACCATACCCGACTTCTTCCAGTGAGATAGAGTCTGGCAGGCTTTCTGTCCAGGCTGACCTGGAGCCAGTCTTTGCCTCCCACATAGCTTGGAATGATATGAGTACACCATTGGTGCTTGGAATGATATGAGTACACCATTGGTGCTTGGAATGATATGAGTACACCATTGGTGCTTGGCTTCTCTTTCTCTCTTTTTTGTAGTACTAAGGACTGAACCCAGGGCCTTGTGCACACTAGGCAAGCTCTGAATTTCTGATCTGTGTGCCCAGTGCTCAGTATGTTAGAAAGGTATTTGTTATTGTCTGTTTCCCACACTGAAGGCAATATTAGAGAATGATCACTTGAGTGAACGGCTGCTGAAAGCTGGCCTGAGCTGAAGTCTGAGAATTAGCCTTTGTATTCAGCAACAAAGAAGCTATTGGTGACCTTGATAAGAACAGTGTCCCAGGAACAAAGTCTGACTGGAGGCAGTTCAGAGAGACAAGGAGGGAGGAAGCAGGAACAGAGAAGAGTGTGGCTCTGAGGGATGTGCAGGCGTGAGGAGGGAGCTGGGGAGGAAGGGGATGGAGGAGGCTGCTGCTTCAAGATAGAAAGGTTAGCGACTGTCCACATGACATGGATCCAGCCAAAAGGAACAATTGGGCATTGTGACATAGGAAGAAAAAAAAGAGGGTTACAGAGGCAAGAGGACGTGGGTCCAAGGCTCCAGGGGAGCAGGTTCGGTGCCCCATTGCTGGGGAAGGAAGGACGGCAGCACAAAGCGGCACAGGTGCAGCAATCGGGGAGTAGACTGGGTCTCTCCTGAGCCCTTCCCATTGTCTCAGAAAAGCCAGAAACAACAGCATCAGATGGGAATGTGGAGGGAAAGAAACTGCGCTAGGAGATGCTTTTGAAATGGTCAGCTCACTAGAATCCGTGGCCAGCCCCTGGCTAGTTTACAGATGGAACCTTTGGGAGGGCTGGGATCTGCCTCTGCTGCAGTCCATTGACGGAAGGGAGTGGCCTTCGAGTCCCCAGCCCTAGCTCCCTGTTCCCTTCTGTCTGGCTCCCCTTCACACTGAGCTAGATGCTGGTTGGATGGTTTTCCTGGCCCAATCTATAGGTGTCTACCACTAGAAGGGGACAAAGGGAGGGCCTTGAGCAGAGCCTTGGCATCCGCTTTTCATTTCTACAGCAATGAACGGACATACTCATTGCTGGAGGAATTTCGTTTTGCCGGGCATTGCTGGAGTACTTCGTTTTGTCAGTCTAAATTTTAGTCACTTGGGTATTTTTGAAGTCCACTCATCCAGTGGACATTTACTGCAGACCCACTTAGCGTCACAGACAGCAGGAAGTCCATCGTTCACTTGATGGTGCTCAGAATTCAGAATGCCCTTCGGCTTCCCGTGGAAAATCATGGGAAGCGCAGTGTCCTTTAGCTCAGTGCTTCGAACTCGTGCTGGCATCCAGACTTACTGGAGAGTCTGTGTATGGTGTGGGATTGAGGGTCTGGAGGAGGATGCTCAGCTGGTTACAAATCGAAGGATTTGTGTGTCTAACGCATTCCCAGGTGACATGCTGCCGATGGCACAGGGACCACATGCTGACGATGACTGATCTAGATGCTTCTCTCATCAAAGAAAAGCAGCAACCTCTACACTAAGCAGTCTCATGCCTTTCAGGACACACCTGGAAGGTGTGTCATTTGGTAGAAGTCATTTGTTTTCATAACTGTCCAATGCAATAGGCTTTGCTTAAGCTAACCAGATGACCATAACATTTAAAGCTAAAAACATTTCACTTTGCTCTAAAATAAGCAATTCCATCCACCCAAATTCACTAGAAAATCATCAACTCTCTAAAGGAACTTCTCAAGTTCTTCTAAGGCAGCTCAGTTGAAGTCCTGTTTCCCTCCTAGAACTAAACACTGTTTGTCAAGTATGCTGTCAACCTCTGAAGAAGCAACTCTGCGAGGGGAGCCCTGGCACAAGAGCCCCTTCTAGATTGTCAAGCAAGTGTTGATGGTGCAGGCTGTGCATATGATGTGATGCATATGATCAACACAATTCATGGTTGATGGATGGGTTGGCTGGTAGATTATTGGTTGGTAGATTGCTGGTTGAATGATTTTTTTCAGCAGATGCGATGTTTTGGTAAAGATGAGTTTGTGCTGGGCTACCAAATACCATGTGACCCCACAGCCCTCATTGTTTCTGATTCTTTCTCAAGGGCAAAGGTATCCACAGGACAAACCTGCCTGTGACCTCCTGGTTGTGCCCATTCTACAGTCATCCCCTTGGTTTTGCCTTCACTATTTTATTCATTGTAATGAGATCCTCTTCTGCAGGGTGCCTCCACGGTTAGCTGCTATGCAAATCCCAATGTGCCCCTTGAGAGACAGTACATGTCTTTGTCACACCTTTGCTGGGAATGGCAGTGTCAGGTTCTGTGCCAGTCACTGCATGTGTCTTCACCTTAATCTTCCCGAAAGCTGTTGGAGGTGGTTCATGTCACATCACCACTCCCTAAGGTATAGATGAGGAAACCAAGGCTCAGTGCTTATAGGAACATAAGCATCTGAAAGGCCGAGACAGGAGGATCATGAATCCAAGGGCAGCCTGATGTAGCTAACATATTTTTTAAGGGACCTGCAAGGTCTAGAAACAGCACAATTGAATTTTTCTGTGATCTATTAGGCCACGTAACAGCAAAATTATTTAATGTACCTATTAAGCAAAACTTTTAGGTACAGACGTTCAAGGCTTCAGAATCTTAAAGTGAAAGAAGCAACATTCTCAGGTCACTATGGTGTCATTATGAGGTCACTCTGGGGTACCACACATGCAGTGGAGGGCCCCTGAGGACCAGAATTTGGCGTTCAGAAGAAAAAGACTTTGTCTCAATACTTACTTCTTCATTTGATCTAATGAGTTTATGTGACCTCTAGATACAATAGTTCAGGGAAACTTAGAAGAGAGTTTTATAAAAATTAAAGACTACTTGGTTAAAGACCCATTTTTATTATTTGGTGGAGGCAGTCATTTGTTTTTATTACTGGCCAATGTAATGGACTTTGCTTAAGCTAAGCAGATGATTGTAACATTTAAAACAAAAGAAATAAGCAATTCCATCCATCCAAGTTCACTAGAAAATAATTAATGGTCTGTTCGATACCTTGTTATATAGCTCTAACATTCATGGTCTTTAGGCAACAAAGTCTAGATGAGTATACTATAAAAACACATATGTACACACATATATGTTCTTTGAGAACCATGAAATTCAGACTCTTAGGTGATACCATATCAGAAATGAGTCTATAACTATACAAAACATAGATCCTAGAGTATAAACCAGTAAGAAGTAAACTTCACTAAGTTGCTTCTGTTATAACTTTAAAAAAAAAAGAAAGAAAAACAATTGAACTTCAGAGAAATGAGAAATACAACAGCTTTGCTGTTTTTCTTCTGTTTTTACATGTTGCAATCCCTTTTGCTGAAGGGCAAATTCTCCCCTAGAAGATACACAAAAACAACTTCCTAGAATTGCTGTTCTTGAGCAAGACAAGATACACTTATCAATCAGCAAAAGCAAAAGTCTACTACAGTCTTTGTCTTTTGTGGTTCAAGCTTTCCCTCCCACAGACATGCAATTAAACATGTGTAGTCAGCCAAAGAAACTTATTTTCCATCACCATTTGCTGTAGTGGGTACAAAAATATATTTAGATTTTTTTACATCCAATGTAAACTTTGGAGTGTATCAGGAATTCCTGAGAGCTCTGTGCAATGCCATTCTTAGCCCTAGCCCCCACATGGTTGGTAGGCAGAGAAGAACATAGAAATCTTCAATGGAGACGGGGCCCCTAATTCTGATGCAGAGGGTTCCAGACCAGGTCTTATGAAATCATCACTTGGCAGACACAAATCTTGAAGCAAAGTTCACTTTTAATATGATGCGTGCCACCAATTATACAGCAGTTGAATTAACTGCTTGAAGGCTAGCATTATAGAACCGAAACGAAATACTCCTCTCTCACTATACACCCACAGCTGTTTTTGTTGTTGTTGTTGTTGGTCTTGGGGCCTGAACTCTGGGCCTGGGCACTGTCCCTCAACTCTTCAGCTCAAGGCTAGCACTCTACCACTTGAGCCACAGTGCCACTTCTGGCTTTTTTCCGCTTATGTGGTGCTGAGGAATCAAACCTAGGGCCTCATACATGCAAGGCAAGCACTATACCACTGAGCCAACTTTCCAGCCCTCAGTGTATATTCTTGAGGTACACCTAGGCTCTTTTTACACTTCCTTTCTATGTGCTCTACTTCAAGGAGGAAGGAAGGACTTTGTATGCGTGTGTGTGTGCGCGTGTGTGCATGCACATTCCTGGAGCTTGAACTCAGGGCATGGGTGCTGTCAGATTTTTGCTCAGTTTTAGTGCTCTCCCATTTGAGCCACAGCTCCACTTTTGGCTTTTTTTTTTTTTTGGTGGTTATTTGGAAATAAGACTATCATGAACTTTCTTGCCCGAGGCTGGCTTCAAACCGTGATCCACAGATATCTGCCTCCTGCCTGTCTAGGATATAGGCATGTGCCATGGGTAACAGGCTGGGAAAGGATATTTGAAGAACAATTCACTTACCTTCCTCATGACGGATTCCTGTGGTGATCCTGTGTTTTCCACAGCGTGGCACCTCACCCAGGGCCCAGCCAGAGGTACTTTCCTGCTTGCCCTGGACAACATTTGAAAGTCAAAGCCAAATCCAAAAATGGGTTTCTGCAAGCCAGTATCAGAGCACTTGTGATTGAGGCCTGCCAAATCATGTGTCAGGTTAAGTCTAGTTCCTTCCGCGTGCCTAGTGGTGATGTTTAATGAAAAAACACAGCCCTGAAAAATGAGACATTTTATGTGTTATACATATTCATGACAACTGAAACAAAACCCCAGGAAGTACAAATGCCTCCCGTCATCAACACTTCACCTTTTTCCTGTGGTTATTTAATAATAGTGTTTTGGAAGCTGTTCCACAGGGAGCTGTCACGTGACAGTATCTCTCCGGCTACTGCGTGCCCCTCTGTGGTCCAGCCTGGTGCCAGGCAGTAAGAGGTGTAGGAGGGTGGAAAAGCAAACAAAACCTTTAACAACAAGATTCTGGCTTGGATTCTAACAGCACAGGTTACCGAGCTGATAGGCATTTTGTTTTGCTCACTGAAAAGGCTAGTCTGTATCTTCCCTGGATCATTTTCTAATCTCACTGCAGTAGAGACATTCTCAGCAAGAAAGGCCCTCTTGTTGATGTGCCCTTTCTATTATCACTGGCCCTCCCACTTGTAGGATTTGGATAGTGATCTGCTGCTTCTGCTTGGGGACAGGCCAGCTAGCAAACTCCTCTATGGATTGGGCCAACCTCAGTATTTAGTCAGATCACTGTTAGTTCGGAGCAAAATGACATGGGAAGTTAGACCACATCCCAAGCCCATCTTTGTTGATGGAAATGATTCATCTCTCTGGCTCCTCTAGGAAAGCAGCTATATTTGACCTCTTCTAATTTGCAACTTGCATATTATCCAAAGGCCCATGGTGCTACTAAGATCTGGTAGCACTTTTAGGGGGCAGGGGCTTAATGGGAAGAAGTTAGATCATTGAGGAAATGCTCTTGAAGGGGATGCTGGGACCCCAGGCTCCTCCTCTGTCTGTCTTTGCTTCCTGGCCACCATGAGGGGAGCAGTTCTTCTACCCTGTGCTCCCCACTATGATGCACTGCCCTTGCCACAGCCCAAACCAACAGGGCCAAGTGACCATGGACTGGGAAACCTCTGAAACCATGACTCCAATCAAACCTCTCCTCCTTTAATGCTTGCAAGTATCCTGTCACAGGGACAGAAACCTGAAGACACATAATCCAGACTGCATAATTACATAGGCTGGTCCTTTTATTTGCTTTTTGGGGTTTTTTGGTTGCTTTTTAAAAATGTTTTTTGTTTTCTTGCTTTTTGATTTTTGCTTTGTGGTTTATAATACTTACAACTTCCCAAGAACCACAGGGAATTCATGTATGCATTTTTTGGTTTTTATTTTTGTTTTAATTATCTTTAAGTAATTGTACAAAGGAGTAGCCATTTAACAAAAGAAGTTTATGAATGTATCCTGATCAACTTCACCCCTTTCAACATTCTCACCCATCCCTCCCCTACCCACTCCTTCCCTTAGTCTTCTTAATTTTATAGAATATGCATTGGATTCTTGTCTACATTGCCTCCCTCTTTTTAGTTTTTAAGGTATAAATTTGATGAGCCAAGGGAACCCAAAAAACTGATAAAACATTATTTCTGGGTGTATCTGAGAGGGTGCTAAAAGATTATTCATGGGCTAAGAAGATAGTGCTTATCAAAGTTGGTGGACAATATACAACTTACTGAGGGCCTGGGTAGAACAAAATTGAAGAGGAAAGGCAAATTTGACTCTCTTCTTGAGCTAGGACATTAATCTTCTCCTACCCTTGGATACTAGACTTCCTAGTTCTCGAAACCTTAGGCTCTGGAACTTATACCCTCCCCTGACTCTTCTTCACAAGCCGTGGGATTCAGATTGAATAATACCACCAACTTTTCAGGTATCGGATTGCATAACAGAAGCTCACACAATCCTAGATATCCACAGTGGACTAGTTCCCACATACACTCTCAAGTCTCCAAAGCCCATAGACATTCAAATCCCTTCTATAAAATAGAATTTATAGTATTTTATATAATTTATGTGCAACTTTCCAAATACTTCAAATTATCTTTAGATTGCTTTTAATATCTACAACAATGTAAATGCTACCCAAGTAGTTGTTGAACCATATTACTACAAAAAAATGACAAGAAGAAAATCTGTACATGTTCAGAAGACATGCAATATTTTAAAAAACATTTTCAACTAGTTCATGGTTGGATCTACAGATGTGGAACTCACCACTGCAGGACTCAGAGATGTGAAATGCTGGCTGTAAAATCTACTACTATTCTATTTCAATGGAGACACCAAAGTAATATGCCCTTTCCATGGGATGATCTCTTTAAACTATCAAAAAAAAGACAGGGGAGCTGCCAGCTTTCCCCTTTTCCCTGCTCTCTTCCTTCTTCCTCTCACAGCACTTGTGTAGTGGAAATTGATCATCCCAGGGAAGTCTGAATCACAGTTGGCCGTTTGCTGGGCCATTCTGTGCTTCCCTTCCTCAGCTGATGAAACAGGCATGGATAACCATCCCAAGGATTTGGGGTGGCATCGGGGCCACAATGAATGTCAAGGGAACCTGAGGAATGTTGTTTTGTCATTTGTCCTGAGAAAAAGAAAGATTCAGGGAGGGGAGGGAAATGTGGTAGTTCACTTGGTACATGGAAAATCTCTTCATTAGTGAAATTTTTCAGTTTCACCCATACCACCACCATTTTGAACCTACAGAGATCTGCCTTTCTCAATCTGTGGATGTTACACTGGTCCAGGCTAGGCCTGGGCAACGTGATAAAATAGTTTTCTCAAGAAAACAAAGGCAAAAACAGTCAGGAGTGGATGGCTCATGCCTGTGATCCTAGCTACTCAGGAGGCTGAGACCTAAGGATAGCAGTTCAAAGCCAACCCCAGGCAAGAAAGTCCATAAGACTCTTATGTCCAATAAACCACTCAAAAAAATCAGGAAGTGGCACCATGGCTCAGCTGGTAGAGCTCTGGCCTTGAGCTAAAGAAGCTCAGGGACTGTTCCTAGGCCCTGAGTTCAAGCCCCAGGACTGGGGGGAAAAAAATCCAAAAACCCAGCAGTGGTCTCCCTGAAGTGTTCTATCTCCACAGAAGGATTTTATACATGCATTTTTGAATGTAAGTCAAAAGTGGTCATTCTAAGCAGTCATTGGAGCATTTCATAAATGAGATTGTATGGGATCTATGATTCATTGTATGAATTTTTATGTGACTATGCACCAGAGCTTCCCAAGAGAACCTTTTAGATGAACTGGTCAGTAAAAATGTAAGATGAGCCATATCTTAAATTTAAAGTTCTCTAGGCTGGACATGGCAGCACATGCCACCATCCCAGCTATAGGAAGAAGCAGAGATAGGAGGATTATATTTTGTGGCCATCCTGGGCAAAGTTATCACAGGACTTTTAGCTGAAAAACAAACTAAAAGCAAAAGGGCTGGAAGCATGTACCACTCGCGTGGTACAGCACCTGCAGCATGACTCGCGAGGTACAGCACCTGCAGCGTGATTCACATGGTACAGCACCTGCTTAGCAAGGTTAAGGTCCTGAGTTCAATCCCCAGCAACAAACAAAAAAAAAAGAAAAAATTTTCTAGTAGTAATATTAAAAAATAGCAAGATAAGCTTAAAGGATATATTTCATTAAACATGATATATCCAAAAATATTCTCGCTTGACTAGATTATAGAAGAAATCATTGGTATTTTTTTAAACTAAGGCCATAGCCTGGTATATATTTTATATCCAGGCAGATCTCCATTCAGTCTAGTCCTATGGTAGGTACTTAATTTAGCGAGCTACCCACCATAATAAATGATGCTACTAAAGCCAAATGCAGGTGGCTCATGCCTGTAATCCTAGCTACTCAGGAGGCTGAGATCTGAGGATCATGGTTTAAAGCCAGCCTGGACAGGAAAGTCTGAGATACTCTTATCTCCAGTAAACCACCAGAAAACCGGAAGTAGTGCTGTAGCTCAAGTGTTAGAATGCTGCCCTTGAGCTGAAGAGCTGAGGGACAGCGCCCTAGCCCAGAATTCAAGCCCCACGACCGACTAAATAAATAAATAATGTTACTATAATGAACAATGCATGTCAACTGGTTGTTGCTATCATTTTCATATCTTCACATCCCAGCTCTAACAAGTAGTATCACAAGGTCTTAGGGAACAGCAAGAGATGGATATGAGAAACTCCTAACCTACATTCTTGGTAGCACCACCTGTTCGAAAGTCTTCTTACAAGTTCACAAAAGACTTTGTGATGATCTCATGGGATCCTCCTAACACCTGATGTTCACATGACAAGAACAAGACAGAAAGGCATTTCTTCAGATTTGCTTGCAAAGTGAGAGAAAGGTCTTTGGTTTGAGCCCCAGTACCTAAGTAAAGAAAAATATTTGGCTGCAAGTTAGAGAGATAAAAGTTGAGCTGGGTCTTTGGCCTCCAGATTCATGGCCCTAGCTTAGAACAAGGTGGCTGCCTCATTGTTGTTACAATGCTGTGCAAAGTGGCTGGGATTTGTGGCCTCCTCCAGAAAACAAGCAGGACCAGATCTATGCATTATTCTCTGTTCTTCCCTGCACTTGATGTGGATGGAGCCTGGCATGATGCTGGCACACAGGTCCTTCCCGATGAGTGAAATTCAGTCAACAAATGCCACATACCAGAAACCCTCCCCATAGCACAGACCATCCCCTCTCTGGGACCTTTCAGTGAAGCCAATACCACAGCCACCTCCACACCACCATCCTAAGTTGCTCCATCTATCTTTGATGCTCTCCTTCCCCAACACACACAAGAATGATCCTTTTTTCCAGGTAAGTGATCTTTACATGGCCCCATGATAATGCTCCCACTTTTTAGTGGCACTCTATGTCTCCAGGGAAAACGAACCATAAAAATAGAATCAAGTCTGACGCAACATGGGCATCACACTCTGTTCTTCCTTCCACTCGCCCGAGACCACCTGGAGGAGCTACAGGAGCTACCCTGTGAGACTGGTGAAGCTACAGAAATAGTACAAGAGAAATCATCACACTGCTCATCCACCTTGCCAGCTGTTGTTGGGTTGAGTCATGAAGGCCTAGTAAAATCCCTGGCTAGCAATGTCA